TCGGACAAGAGGGCAAATCCACCGGCAATAACACCACACTTGTGAAAACCATATTGAGCGGTGAAATTCAGAAATGAAACTATATCTATAAAGTAGTTGTTTGGTTGGCTAAAAAAAAATATTGAGTAAAAGTAATGTAGTGTAAAATGAATATATGTAAAATGAATACTTTGAAGTTGTTTGGATGAATGTAAATTAAATAAAGATAAATTCTATTTTTTGTTTGGTTAGAAATAATGAATGTAGTATAAAGTTCAAAGATGGTGGTGGTGGTTGGCGGCGACCGACAATGGTGGCTACTGGTTGGTGGTGGTGATGGTGGCCGGTGGCCGGTGGCAGCGATGTCAGGTGGTGGTACAACCAAACACTTAGATTTTCAAAACTCCTATATTTGAAATACTTTACAACACTTTATATTCCAGCCAAATAGCCTAAAAAAATGAAGAAAATATATGCAATGAAAATTGGCAAAATTTTAAAAGGAGCTTAATAATAAATTAATCAAGCAAAAAGAGTTTGATTGTTTAAAGATTTAGAAAGGAGCAAAAACTACTCTCGTAGAAATGATGTTTGTATGATGTATATGTCAATTTTACTTTGGGTCTTTTGTGTGTTGAAATATTCACAGCAGTAGAGAAAAAAGTGAGTTTAACTTCTTAGTGTTGTTCGAAGATCCAACGCACATGCATATAAGAGAGATGAGTGTAACAATAATAAGAGACACCAATTTTTTTTTTTTCTCGTAAAAACCCTAAAAAAAGGAAAAAATTATAGGGAGTATTTCATTTGGCATATCAGAAGTCGCCACTTCCATAAGTCATCATAATCTTAAATGATATGATATGCGAACGGGTAGGAAGTGACGACTTATTATATGAAAGCTAGCTAATCTAAATGACTTATGATATCATTTATCCTTAAAATATGACAAATATGATTAAGAGTAATTCCTATAGGGTTGTCCACACACACAACACACAGCACACACACACCACACACAACAACACACATTATATATTATATAATATATATAGTATAGTATATAATTATTATATATATATTATATATAATATATATAATATATATATATAATAATATATAATAATATATATATAGTTACATAAGATATAGGCATATGACTGATACAAGTATTTTATAGAAATGAGAAAAACTGATACAAAGGCATTTAATATATATTGTAACTCATATGATTTAATTTTTAATATGATATACAGTGCATAATATTGACATTGTACAAAACTTGTGAGGGACAAAGTTGGAGGTAGACGCATAGTTGGTCTTGAAGGTTGGGAAGTGTAGTCGATGGGTAGCGAGGTCGGAAGGATGCATATCGTGTGACAGAGGTTGAAAGAAATTGTAAGTCCTGGTGATAGAGTTGAAAGGATTATAGTCGGTAGGTGACGGAGATCTATACGTGTAATATCTGAGGAATATGAAATAAAATTATTTAAAATATATAAAAATTTTAAAGTAGAGCGCTTTGACACTGATCTGGTGAGTGCAGTGGTGCTAGGCCACAAACATTATATATATGAAATTGAAGGAGGATAAGAAGGGAAAGAAGAGAGAAATGCTTTTGGATCATATTTTTTCATCGTTCCTATTACAAATTGTGTTCTATTCATTATAAGTAATTAATCTCTTACTTCTATTTTCAATAGCTTTAATTTTTTACGAATTTCATCTCTGTTAAATCTGTCAAAAATGCAATATCACCTGATCTCATAAGCTTTCATTATTTAAAATTTTGATATGTTATATATTTGATCACTCTTGAAGATTTTATATGATTTCAGTACATTTTCACTAGTTAAATATGTGTGTATGTATTTTTATGTGAATAGAGAAAAAAGTATACTAAAATGGAATATATTGATATGAGTGATATTTATTGGAATGTACTAATGGTAATGGTGAACTGATTTATTAATTAATATCAGATATATGATATGATAATCTCACGTGATACTTTACTGATTCATGTGATTCACTGATGGGAGTCATAAGGAGCTAAAAATTGATTGAGAGTTATAAGGAGTTAGGATGAATGAATCATGCGATTCAAGCAGAGTCATAAGGGGCAACTGATTGGGACTTGGGAGTCATAAGTGCAGGAGCATGATACCCTCACATGAATACCTAATTGAACACTAATTCAGTATTATAATTGATTGCATGTGATACCTGTAAACTCATAATATTGATACTGATACTGTAATTGATGCTATTATTAATATTTAATTATTGATACACATAACTAATATAGATACATTAAGCATATATTTCTTTATATTGTTTACAACATGCTATTCTCATTTATCTTATATTGATTTCAATTATAAGATTTTGATTATTTACTACGATATATGCTTATTACAAGATTTTACATATTTTCATAAAAAGATAAAGATTTTATGATATGAGGTTTTGTACAACATGCATAATACTTTTTGTTGTTCATAAGAAATTGATAAGCTATAGTTAAATAGTTAAAATAAAAAAACATATGAAATTCTTTCAAATTTGATTATAGGGAGTAACATGAAGGACCATGGTCGAGCAATTAAGGTCGAAGTACTGTAATCTGACAACGGTGGTCAAGAGGATAGGTGATGAAGGTTATAAGGACCACAGTCGGTCGATGATTGAGGTCTGAAAGATTATAAAAGATATTGCTTCTTAGTAGTGTATATGACTTTTGAGAATCCACACAGATGTGTACATTGATGTTTTAAAGTATATAACATGTTGTATTGTTTATTACTAATAGATGAATTTTGATAGTTCTGGTTGCTGCTTATTAAAAGATTAAATGAATAATTATTTCAATTTAGATTCAGATGTATCACAAAAATTGTGATTGTGTGACCGAGGTCAAATGATTGTAGTCGGGTGACGGTGGTCAGAAGGATCATACTCCACAGGTGACTAAGATAGTAATGATCGTAGTCGGTGGGCAATGGAGGTCGAACGGAGACCTATCAGTGGTGGTTGGATAGAGGTTCGACGACGATGGTCGGGCAGAGGCTCAGCAATGATGATTGGGAGGCGAGAGTTCGTCGGCGGTGGTGCCTGAGTGAAGATTTGAGATTTCAAGCTTCAGAGCTCTCTTAAATCTCATGTTGAGGGTCCAAGCCTCCCTAAGAAAGTCTTCTCGTGTAGAGAGTAGGGTTTTTTAATAAATTTTTTGAAGTGGTATGCCCCGTAAATATGGAAAAGATCTTGAGTAAATTCGAAGTACTCAATCAGATGGTTTGTATTAATTCTTTAAATTGTGAAGTGTTTATCAAGTATTTAAATGCTTTAATGATGCCATAATTAAGTGATCTTAGGCTCGTTAGATTCATCTCATTGAGCCACTCGATTTGATTATAAACATGTCATATTTGAAGATCATTTGATCATCCAATTAATTCTTTGAAATTTTTGAAAATGATTTGGTCCCATAATTTGGGCCCATTTGGGCTCGGATTGGATCGATTTGGTGTTGTTGGGTTCATTTCATTGAGAATTCAATTTGACTATAAGTTTGTTGAAATATGAGTTTGGATGATCCCAATTTTAATTTTGAAAGTTTCTAATTTAGATATGCATTAAGATTCATGGAAGAGCAAGGCGATTTTTGGTGATGATTAAGCTCTAACTCGAATTTGATTGACCTGAATCACACTAGTTTGCTATATAGATCAAAATATTTGATCTAAACTTGACTCAAATTGTACCCACCTAATTCATACGGGCCAGTCTAACTTATTTATTGTTATTATATATATATCTATAGAGAGAGAATGCAACATAATTAAAAAACCTAAATACAACACAATACTTTTTTGAATTTAAAAAAAAATTATATCAATTATATATATAAACTAAAATGAAAAATAATAAATAAATAAATAATAAAGTACTCCACGGATTTTGGTAGTGCCCGTTGTCGGTTATTGCACGTAGCTTTCGCCACTTTGAGAGAAGTGGCAGTGTAAGGCACCACTACTTATTAGTACAACTACAACTAACCAAGCATTAAATGCAATTAAGGTTCCATAATTGCATTTTTATTTTGCTTAATAATCAACAATACTATGTAATTAAATACACACTATTTTTCAAAAAATCACTTTATAAAAAGTAAAACTTTTTTTTTTCTTTAAATTAAATAAATAAATATATTGTGAAGACAATAATAAGTGAGGTCTAAAAAGATAAGCTCAAATCAATACTGTCTTATTCAACTAATTGTGAGCCCTAACTACAAATAAACAAAAAACAAATCAATTCATATGTACAAATTATAATTTTTTATGTTTGCAAGAATACAGCATAAGGGCTAAAATTAATAGAAAAAAAAGGATTTATCATGTTGAATCTGAGCCAACTTATGAGTCAGCTCGACCTAGTTGCACTTCTAATGAAAAATATGGCTTGGGATGTTTATGTGACATATTTCTTTTTTTTTTAATGAAATATGCAATTAGGGGTGTCAATTTCGGGTCACTAGTCGGTTTCGGGTCGCAGCACTATTTGGGTCAACCCGAACCCGAACCATTTTTACAAACGAGTCGATTTTTTGGATTCGAACCCGACTCGCTTCGGGTCCGGGTCAACCCGACATGATCCAAATGACCCGGGACATGAAAAAATTGCTAGTTTTCGTGTCAAAAACATGTCAATCTATGCTTTTTGGATAAAAAATGAGTCAATCTCGGGTTTCCGGATCAAACTGGTTTTCGGGTAAAAAAATGGATCAATTTCATATCAAAGGGTCAACCCAAATCCAACCCGATTTTTGAAACATGTCAAATTGTTGAACCCAAAATCAAACCCGTTTCGGGTCCGGGTTGACCATAACCCAAAATTTTCAGGTTGGATTCGAGTCGGATTTTCGGTTCGTGACTGATTTTGACACCCCTATATGCGATGAAATAAATAAAAAGATTAACATGAGCAATATATTATTTATTTTTTATGATAGTTATATGTTTAAGATAATATGAACTGAATTATTTTATTTTATTTTATTTTATGGGTTTCAAACAAACCCCGATCTGTTCCAAGAACAAATCATGCGTCACTTCCAGTTAACAGAATGGCCCATAAATCACAGAAGATCTTCCCTCAGAACTGGGAGGCATACCTGTGACCAGCACAGACCAAGAAGACGACAACCCGCAGATCTCCATCAATCTCACACAAATCATCACTCCTTAACTAATCAAACATCAAACACCTCAACTATTTACACTATCTCACAAAACTTGCACGGATTTGATCGATCAGATTAAGGCGATCCTTTCATCTTTGTTCCAATTGCCTTTTTTCAGCAGGCGGCGTTCACCATCTCGATGTATCGCTGCTCGGATTCCTGTCGCTGAATCCGCCGCTGCTCGTAATGCGTCCTGATGAACGCCTCCGCTCGCCCGAACAGTTCCTCCCTTCCCACTGAAATCCGCCGAAATGTCTCCGACTTCCGAAACTTCGGCTCCAGAGTCGCCGCCGGCGATCCCTCGCGATCGCGGCCGCACCTCTCCCAGGTATCGCTCTTCCTCATCCGAGGCCGCGCCGCAGCTTCAACTTCCGCGGCGCTCTTTGTGACGATAGCCTTCCAGGTCGCATCCATGCTGTCGTGCGACTCATCGAGGTCCGTTTCGCCGGAATTGGGTGGATCTGGGACGGAACCCGGCGGATCCGGGTCTGGATCCGGTGGATCCGGCAGTGAATCAGGGGAATCCAAAATGGATGCAGCCGTCGGATGGACGGCGTCGGGGATATCCAGTTCCTTCGATATATATTGGATTTCTTCTTCATTTTGCTCTTGAGGGTGATAGTTGTGTGGGTGAAGCTTCCAGATGACGATGATTATGAAATGAACAGTGATGAAGAGGTACGAGGGGGAGAGCCAGGCAAAGGCGAGGGTTCTGATTCGAGGTAGGGAGGAAGATAAGAGATCGGCGGAATAGGGCACGGCGGTTGAAGCGAGAATGATTGCGGTGGAGGCTATTCCGACGAGGAGGAAGGCTGTTCTCGCTGCGGCAATTATTGTCGTCCTGAGCTCTCTTGTTACAAGGCTTCGGTCGGAGATAGCCATATGAGCGAGAAGTGAGAGAATGGAAAGGAGAGATCAGAACTCAGAAGGGAGAGACACCATTGCCGATGAGCGAGAAGCTTAGAGAGAGAGAGAGACTGAGAAGTTGAAACTTGGGTGGTTCGAATAGTGCGGTTATTATATAGAAGGGAAGGAGTAAAGTTGGGGAATAAATAGGGATTAAAGAAGAAATTTGGTTTTGTTGCAGGCTACGGCGGAGGGGACCGCATTGAGGTAGGCTAGGCGGCGGGCCGACGATTTCTTTTTTTTTTTTAAATAAAATTTGGAGCCAAGCCTGTAAATTAAGGCAAATGTAATTATACCATTGAACCTCCTCTAAATTAGAGAAAAAAAAAAAGAGAAGTAAAATTTTTAAACAAAGGGTTGCTTAAGCATTCCTAGGACAAAGCCGATTGCTCAAAAATAGGAACTTTTATTACGTCCGGTGTAAGGACATAGAGGAACGTTCGGTTGGAAGCAAAATCCCGCCAAGAAACTCGGTATTTGCTTGATACATCTAGGTATTATTTGATATTAATGAGGAATACCGCTCTTTGAAGACCTATACCGAGTTATACCGAGCTGTACCGAGAAATACCGAGTTGTACCGAGTTTTTCCCCGCCAAAAAACTCGGTATTTGCTTGATACATCTAGGTATTATTTGATATTAATGAGGAATACCGCTCTTTGAAGACCTATACCGAGTTATACCGAGCTGTACCGAGAAATACCGAGTTGTACCGAGTTTTTCCTAGAAAAACTCGGTACAACTTTTGTATAACTCGGTATTTCTCGGTTTAGCTCGGTATAACTCGGTATTGGGTCTTCAAATAATGGTATTCCTCGTTATTGTTTGGTATTGCTAGGTATTTGCTCGGTACAACTCGTTTTTTGGCGGGATTTGGCCTCCGACCGGATGTTCCTCTGCGTTCGGTCGTAGGACGTAATAATTGTTCCATAAATAGGCACCGCAAGCACACCCGCACGGACATGTCCACGGAAAAATTTAGGAAGAGTCCAGTGGTTATCAATAATGTAACAATTAACATCATGATGAACTAGTATGATAGGGGAAGAGATATCTGCTAAAGCTTTGCCTTTATACCATGGGTCTCAATTCATAGAGAAGTTGCAGAATTCTCGATTTTATGGTCAGTAGTGCATATGAGTTTCGAGGCCTTGGAAGCATTAAGAGGAGGTGGCTTCAAAGGAGAAAGGTATTTAATTTTAAGCCAAGAACTGATGATGGAATTCTGATTATATAACCAACAAATAAAGGAGCAAATAGCAGCATAATAAAGTGAATCAATGAAAGGAATACCCAATCCCCCATGTTGCTTAGGAATAGCAATAAAGTTCCGAGCAATTAAATGTAGTTTAAACCGAAACCTTGAGCAAAGTCTAGAGAATTTTTTAGGCATGCTTTAGGTATAATGGCTCATCCTATCCAATAGGCAATAGTAAATTTTAAGAACTGAACCCTATCTGCAAAAGAAAGAAACTTAACTTTCCAAATATTAAGTAGAGTAGAAATTTTACTCAAGAGCGACCGACGATTTAAAAATAGGCAATTATGTGGAAATAAAATACGATTTTGTTTAGACAATTAGGTCAATTAATTCAAATTCATACATGCATTATATATATAATACTCAAATCTAAGGTCTTTTAGTTGGTAGCCAAAACTCTCAACCAATAAATCAAGGTGAACTTTGAAATATGGTAAATTTTATTTTATTATTTTATGTTATTTTGTTGAATTGGTTCAATATTTGAGTGTTGTTCTGATGGCTCAGTACAAATGAGTCAAGCGAAGCCCAATTTACTCTCGATTTGACTTTGAACTTAATTCTATGAGTTTGAGTCAGTCATGAGACATCTTATTTAATTTTTGTACTAGAAGGCCGCTTTAAAAAGTAGAAAGAAAGCAGTCTCAAACGAAACCTTGGCACGACTTCCTTACTTCTTCTTGAAGCAGCTTTCTAGTATAAAAATTTGTATGCTAAAAAACTGCTTCAAAAATCAATAAAAAAGACTTCCCAAATGAACCCTAAGACTTTATTTAGGACGTTTTTCTTGTTGTTTCTTTAAACAGTTTTTTAATAGAAAAATTAAAATTTTTGCATTAAAAAACTATTTTAAAAAATACTATATAATTTTGTTGTTGGAGATGGAGATAAAAATCATTAGAACTATTAATGATTTGATGAAAATAAAATAAAGAAATGAGTGGGTAACCATAGTAGGAACCTAAGTGCATAATTCGTTTCCAGCAGCATGTTCACCTGTCCGCTGTGATCACTGTGATCTTAATCATCTCCTGTCTTTTCCTATTATTGCAACACTTTTAACTGTGCTGTGAGTTTTTATTTATGTAAAAAAGAAAATCAATAATTTTTAATATACGGGCTAAGCCCAAAATTTTTCAAAAAAAAAAGAAAATCAATAATTCTGAGATGACTTTGTATTATATTTAGATTTATTATTTTTTTAAAATTCACATTAAAATTAGTGCAATTTAAAAACTTGTCAAACCGAGGTCGAGTTAATATTTTTAAGATAAATATAATGGTAGGCTGCCACACAAAATAAGATAAATTTATATTTATGTTTTTAAGTAATATTATAATATTTAAATAATACTCTGATTTTTTATGAGTTCATTTTTGTTAGACATAAAAATTAAACTTGTTGCAGGCTAGAATATACGCGGCAATAGAGTTAGTAAATTTCCGTCTCAACGTTGTACAAGTATCCAGCACACAAACATAAAAGAAATGGAAACACCAGGATTTTTACGTGGAAACCCTGAAAGGGAAAAACTACGGGGCTTTGCCCAGTTGAAATAGTTCCACTAGTGTTTTGTTTGAAATACAGGAGGCTGACTCATCCACAAAATTAGGACGATCAGATTACAATGAATCTCTTCTAAATTGAGATTCAGTTACAAAGTTCAGCAGAGTTCTAGAGTCGTTCCGAAGTTAAGTAGAATTATGGCGTCACTTGGGCGCCCGGAAAAATTCCGGCGTACTCGGGCGTCGGGCAGAACTCCGGCGGTGGTCGAGGAGGAGTTATTCCCTCCTATCCTTCTCTTCTATTCTTCTCTTCTTCTTCTCCTCTTCTTGCTTGGGTCCCCTCTCATGAGATTAATGAGGGGTCTATTCATAGATTTTCTAGAGTGGCATACATTGTAAATAGGTGTGAGATCAGGAGCAAATAGGGAGTGGTCGAATGGATGGTTGATATTGAATCCCTTGACCGTGCACCGTTCGTCAGACATTTGAAGGTCTTAATGATGTCAGAATTCGGCGATCTTGGGCTCGTTGGATTTGTCTTGTCGAGCCGTTCGATTTGATTATAAGCTCGTTAAAATCAGAGACCGTTTGGTAACTCAAATTATGGTTTGAACTTTCCAACAGCACTGCAGGTGCTTGATTTGGGCTCATTTGGGCTCGGATTGAGTTGAATTTGTGTCGTTGGGTTCGTATTTTTGAGACGCTCAGTTTGACTATAAGCCCGTTGAAATCGGAGTTCAGGTGCTCCCATTTTTAATTTTTGAAGTTTCCGGCTTGATTTTGCCTCGAGATTCGTGCTCGATCAAAATAATTTTTTTTTTAGAATATATCAAAACTTAACATATAATTTTATTATTATTGTTGAATTCATATTTGAATGTCAGCAACACTTAAGACTTTGTTGGTGATACCAACAAAGACTCTATAGAAGAATATGAGATGTGAGAGAGAGAGAGAGGAGCTCCAGGTATTATACTCTCAATGCAAAAAGACAAAAAGTAGTTCAAAATGTTGACATTAGCTGAATTTTCAAACCGGTCAATTTTTGGAATCTGAATTCGACCAATTTATCAAATAAGTTGATCATAATTCGAAATTTTCGGGTATTCAACATTTTATCATGCAATTATCATGGTTGTAAAGAAGGAATTAAGAGCTCAAAAGGGAACCAAAGACCCAAACATAATAAATTTTTTATTTATTTAGGCTTCATTTGGGATGGCATTTTTACTACTGCATCTTGAAGCGGCTTTCTAGTATAAAATTTTGTAATTTTTTACTAAAAAGCTGTTTTAAGAAGCAGGAAGAAAGCCGTCCCAAACGAAGCCTTAGACTTAACTCAAAATCATAATCATGCTTAATGTTAACTAATTAGCCTGATTTTTCTGACTCAATCAGATTTTTTACTCATCTAATTACATTAGAAAGCTGATTACTTAAACAAACAAATCACTAAATAATTGCATTATTACTCTCTAATCAGCAATAATTAGATGCTCTTACATTGCTGAAAGAACACCACCAATAGGGCTCTAAAGAATGTTAAAAACAAAATTAAAGGATGATTAGGTTCATTAGAGAAGGTATGATTAGCCAAAAGTCTGCATTAGAAACAAAATTAGAGCCAATAAGCTCTATCCACCATGCAATAAGATAGTTTTATAGGCTTAAACATTTATGATAATGAGGAATTAAATAAAGGGAATGTCTCACAACAACCATTCCCTCTTAATTTGTATACAATATTTGTATTGTAAAAGGTGACAAGACCAATTAAAAATGAATATAGGCATGTTACCCTTCCTCCCTCCTATATAATGCTTTCACTTAAAAATAAAAGGGCCCACAATATAATAAATTAATTAAGTGCTATATTTCACTACTTCAATTATCAATTATTGTAATAAAAATAATACCTAATTATCCCATTTACCTTCTCTACTTCTATAGCACTAAGGTCACACCTTTTTTTATTCGTTTCTTTTTTGTTCGGGACTTCGATTGTGGTCCTCACCTCACGTAGTGAGATAAATGTTTAATAATAAAAGACGATGAAGCACTGTTCATAGGCCAGTGAAAATCCCGGTTGACCTAGCATGCAACCAACACCAATTTACACGGGCCAACACTTGTGGCTTTCACTGCTTGCCAAGGGATTCGAACCAGGGACCTAGGGTTTGCCCAGCCTGTTGCTGTTCTTGTTTAGGGTTTTGATCCCAATGTTGCGAGAAATCCAATACATAGTGGAAATGAGAACAAGTTAGGCTTGATTTGGGACGGCTTTTTACTATTCTTAAAGCAACATTCAAATACAAAAATTTCTTGAACTAGAAATTTATGTAATGTAAAACTGTTTTAGAAAGCAGTAAGAAAACCGTCCCAAATGACGCCTTAGTAGCCTCCATAATAATTTAGGCTTTTTTTTTATACCTAATTGGTGTTGAAATTTTGGAAGAACTTTTTCTCATTGGTAAAAGCATACAATCATTGTAATTAATAAAGTTTTATCTTATTATGGTTATTTATTGTAGTTAATTAATAAAGTTTTAGGGGTGGTGGATGTAGCTATCAGCCTCTAAGTAGCCAATTGGTTGAAAAATACTATTTCCATAAATTTGAAACAATTATTTTATGAATTTTTATAAAATTATTTTTGGTTAATCGTCTAACCATTAAAATTTTAAACGGTCAACTCTATTGGTTTTATGGTCTCGAGAGCTTCAAAATATTATATATAATTATTTTTTTTTATTTTTTTTATATTATTATTATTATTATTATTAAATAATAAATATACTTAATCATCTTTATTCTTTTATTCTTCCTCTTATAATTTTGATTTTATTTGCAAATAAATTACGGTCTAAAGTATTAGTGAAAAATTTTGACAAAAAATTTGAAAATTTTAAATTGTGCCCCTATTAAAATTTTTTTGCTTCACCACTACTAATGCAAGCTCCCCGAATATATATGAATTACTTGATTTTAACTTAAAGAAAATAAAAAAAAGGTGAAAATATTTACTATAAAATTTATGAAAATAATAATAAAATAGTAAGATAAAAAAATTAAATCGGAAAAGATAAAATAACAATTTTCTTAATAAATACAATTATTTTATTGATAAAAAAATAAATTCATGAAGATATTTAAAATAACAAAATCTATAAAAGAAATAAAAAATTGCTATCCTTTTCATTATACTTCTTATGAATTCGAACAAGAAAAGTTTATATAAACAAAAACAAAAATTTAATTATCAGCTTCATATGGAATGATAATCAAGATAAATAAAATCAAAATGGACAAGGTGACAAAAAAATAGCATCTTATCCACCTTCTATATAAAACCAGCTAGTTCAAAGAGGTCGATTTACCTCCATAATTAACTTAGATTTCGTTTAAGATAGCTTTCTTACTGCTTCTTAAAGCAGCTTTCTAGTACAAAATTTTTAATTTTTTACTATAAAGCAACTATAAAAAGCAATAAAAAAGCCGTCACAAACAAAACCTTAGTATGACAATATTTTAACTTGGCAGCTTTTGAGCCAATTAAGATAAATTTTACATCATAAATTTATATAATAGAAATATTATATGCTAATTTTTAAAGCTTATTCTACAAAATATTAACTATTTTTAAAACTCCTAATAGATTAGTAAAAGCTTAATCCATATATATTCTTTTTACAATAAACAAAAAGCTTATAGTCATAAAGGGTTTGAGGGTTATGAATTGATTTGTATATAAGGAATTCAAAATTGAAAAAAGAAAAAAGTAAGTGACATTTGAATTTAAAAAAAAAAAACATTCAGACCAATTAAAATAAACTCACATATACATCACATACGTAAGATTCGAACCCAAAACCACTTGATTGATAATTAAAGCTCTCAACCAATAAACCAATGTGAACTACGTACATTTAAAATTTCGTAGTTTATTTCACAATTATCTTAAAATATTAATTAATTTCATCTATTCAGCCTAATATTAATACTGAATTTTATGAAATTGCGAGTTTCTGAAACTTCGAGAACATTCATTTATTGCATAAAGGCTTCTACCAATAAGAAAATAGATGTGACAATTTTTTGATTACTATCCTATTTATAAATTCTTCAAATTTGATCAAGTGAGCAATGAGCTTTGTAGACCTGTGGTCCTTTCTATTTTGCCATGGTTGGTGGAAGGATTAATCTAGAAGGTGAAAGAAACAAAGCTTAGGCTGCAAGGTAAAAAAAGAATATATTAAAATATTCTGATATAAATACATTAACATAAAATTTAAAATTAATATAACTTAATATAATTTTTTTTTCTAGCTAAAAAGTTTGTACCTTTTCACTACCTAATGGGCCCACAAAAAAGGCCATTATTATTTAGTTTTTTTCAAGTGAGAATTTTGAATCCTTGGCCATCATTGTTAGTCTTATCTTAATTATTTAGATTTATTTTTGTGAATACCTAAAAAATATGGATTTTCTTTTACCTAAAAAAGAGTAAAAATAAAAACAATAAACATTTTTTCATCCACAAACAACCAAATAGACCCTAACGGACCCTAAGTAAAATACAACTAGGGGTGTCAATTCAGGTCAACGAGTCGGGTTCAAACTGACCTGGCACTATTCGAGTCAACCCGAACCCGGATCAGGTTTCCAGACCCGAACACGACCCGATTTGAGTCTGGCAACCCAACCCGACACGAATGACCCGAAGTTGACCTAAAATTGCTAGTTTTCGGGTCAAAATCGGGTCAATCTTCAATTTTCGGGTCAAAATCGGGTAAAAAACAGGTCAATCTCGAGTTTCCGAGTCAAATAGGAGTTTTCGTGTCAATTTCGGGTTGCTAGGTCAACCCGAACCCGACCCAATTTTTAAAACGGGTTGATTTGTTGAACACAAACCCGACCCGTTTTGGGTCCAGGTTGACCCTAACCCGAATTTTTCCAGGTCAGGTTTGGGTCATGTAAAAAATTGACACCTCTGCATACAACTACAACATCAAGCCTTTATCCCATTGCCTAAGGTCGACTATGAATCTATTTTCTCTATTGTGTCCTAAGAAATTATCATTTAAATATAATAAGAAAAAATATTTCTAATACTTTCTAATCGAATCTTTTTTAGATGTACTTTTATCTTTCTTAATATAAATCAGATCTAATACATCTACTCTCCTAATCGAGTCATCGAAAGGTCAATATTTCATAATCATACTTTAATTGATCTTAAATAATTTTATCGAATACCCATCTTACTAATTTCATTTTTATCAAACCGAACTTAGCTTTCCATGACTCCTTTATTTCTAATGCTCGAATTCATTACAATAACATCAATTTAATTATAATTTTATAAATATTAAGAAGTCTAAAAAAATCTTCTTATTACATAATAATCCCAATATACTTCTCAATTTTAAGTACTTAAACAAATAAGATGCATAATCACAAATTCTGAATCAAATGAATCTAAGAACTAAAATAATAGACTTTAAGTCAAGGTAATTATTTAATAAAAGACCAAAGAATTGTTCGCTCTGTGCCCACCACACAGTGGGGGCGAATTATTACGTCCGGTGGCCGGACCGTCTGGACACCAATCTAGATGTGCCACGTCACCCGGATACACTGGGCCCCGAGTGTATCTGGATGACGTGGCGCATCTGGATTGATGTCCAGATGAATCTGGACACCGAACGTAATAATTTTCCCACAGTGGGAGGGTTGATTATCTTTAATCTAGTTTGTTTCCACGCTAAATTCCCTTAACTTTTTTTCCCCCAAAACAATTGAGGGAATTAAGCCTGGAAACAAACTAAATTAAAGACAAGCAATCCTCCCACTGATTTATTAACTCATGCTTAAAGCTTGGATTGAAATAAACCTGACAAATGAGCCAGACCTATCCAAACTAAACTCAATTCAAGCTATATCAAATCGAGCTCGATGCTTAATCAATATATCAGCAATTATTCTATAGGTAAAAAGACACTTTTCCACATGAACTTTTTTTTTTGGCTTAATTTTCAATCAAATAACATCTAATTGAATAAAACAAAAACTTTCATGCTAATCTTCATATATATACACTAAAAGTTTAGAAAATGTATAGCCAATTTCAAATAAATTCATTTTGTAACTATGATGAAGCTCCGAATCATTTTAAAGAGATTAAAGTTTTGTTTGAGACGGCTTTCTTATTTCTTCTTACAGCCGTTTTAAGAAGCAGTAAAAAAACCGTCCCAAACAAAGAGTTTTTTATTACTTTTTAAAGTAGCTTTTTAATACAAGAAAAATTAAAACTAAAATTTTTTGTACTAGAAAACTGTTTTAGAGAACAATAAGAAACCTTTCTCAAACGAAGTCTAAACTAGATGACTAGGCCAAGCATAAATTGTGATTAGGTCAAGCCATTCTACAATTAGGCAAGGCTTGGCCGGAGATTAAACCAGATGACCTTTTTAGGCTGATTCTCCCTGAACCGGCCCAAGGGCCAGTTCTTTATTACAGGAGGCGGACAAATCGCCCCCTTGAGAGCGCTGCCCAAGCCTAGTGGGCCCACTAGGCAGGCCAATTAGGAAAGAAGAGGGGGTAGCTAGGAGTGGGAGGAAAAAGTTTGAATCCGAAGTTTGAAATTAGGGAAGTAGGAATTAAATAGGAAGAGTTGTCCCTGAACCGACCCAACCGGCCCAAGGGCCAGTTCTTTATTACAGGAGGCGGACAAATCGCCCCCTTGAGAGCGCTGCCCAAGCCTAGTGGGCCCACTAGGCAGGCCAATTAGGAAAGAAGAGGGGGTAGCTAGGAGTGGGAGGAAAAAGTTTGAATCCGAAGTTTGAAATTAGGGAAGTAGGAATTAAATAGGAAGAGTTGTTTAGGGTTAGGGTTATGCATATTTTGGTGGTTGTTTTTGAAAGTTCTTGTCTTGGAGTCTTGGGCACTAGATTTCTTCTAAGGATTGGGAGAGAAGATCCTCCTCTCGAATTGAGGATCAATTGTATCTTGTTTGTTTCTTTGTTCATTTGATTTCCGTCAATTAAAAGGTGCTGTTTTTGCTGAATTTTTCAATCTGAATCTTGTTTGTTTGTTGTTTTCTTCTCTTATCAGGGATTACTTGGATTTCTCAAGTATTTCCTAACAGACTTCAGGCTAATCTTAAGCCATGTTCAAATCAACTAGCAATATAGTCTACACCTTACATTCCTATTGCCCCTCCCAACTTTACTGTAAATGCAAGACAACTGACTTCCAGCAAGATTTGCATTAGTTGGCATGATATCATGAAATGAAAAAAAACATGTTTTCAAGGAATTGAGACAAAAGGCATCGTTATGAACAGATTTTACATTCTTGAAATAGGATAATATCTCCTATAGTAGAAAGAACAACAAAATTTGAGCAGCATTTGAATGATCAACTTACTTGGAAATTGCCGTTTCTATATGAGATAACAAAACTGACCCATCAGCTTTGAATTTGATTACTGGGTCTGGAAAATGTTCTGAATCATCTTTCGAGGACAGTCCCTCGCAGCAGATTCCAGCTCGGATATTTCGTCGGAGCTCAGACGCCAACCGAGGGAGCCCAAATTCTCCTCTGCTTGCCTGACTGACTTCACTCCAGGAATTGGGATGGTTCCTTTGCAGATGCACCAGTTTATTGCAACCTGTAATGGAAAAGATCAGTCATCCTACAAATTTATGATCTATTTTATGAATCCTCAATCTACATTCATGATGGGAAGAATAAAGTGGGAGAAGGTTTTCCATGATAGAAATGTTACACTACACATAGACATGAAAGCAGATTTATCATAATAACTGCAAATCCATCATAGTAATCACAAATTCAAGGAGTTATTACAAAAAATTAAAATCTGGGTCTATGCCTGGAAGCTTATAATTTGTAATGATGATAATTATGGTATGGTATTTATATCACTAATAATTCATTCCAGCTGTGCTAAAAGTGGGGTTACATCTATTATAGGCAAATCTTTCTGCACTACTTCCATTCATATTATATATTGTCAATTCCTCTTTTAATTTTAATCCCTCGGCGCTAACTCTATTCACTCATCTTAAGCATCAATTTTCTATCCCTTGTTGTAGATGTCTATGTAACGAGAAATTATTAGATACGGTCACCGGACTGTCCAAAGGCGAATCAAGATGCGTCATGTCACCCAATACGCAACACCGGTACACAACAAAATAGTGACATTGCGTGTCCCGATTCGCCTCTGGACAACATCCAATAACGGCACGTAATAATTTCTCCTATGTAACAGAGTGCTAATCAAAGGAAACCAAATTTGGGCCTGATATTTTTTTTGTCAAAATCATTTTTAGCCCCAAAGCTTAAGCCTATAGGTAAGATTCAACCACATAATATTTCTAATCAAAATATTTTCAAGTATAGGATATAGAACTAAACTTAACATTCTCATATGCCTTAATAGTTTAAACCAGCTAAACTTAATTTTTTGATAATTTATCATTAATAGCTACTATTCCTACCATTCCTTTCATATAATCATTTCCCTAACATATCCTTTCATTTAAGGATGAGTAGATGATAAATACGTTTGTCATATAGATGATAGGAAAACATGACTTCCATTTAAAAATTTCAAACAATATTCAAAACGCATTCATAGCATATGATCAAGTTCAGCTCAAACTTGAAATAAAGGTTGCATAAGTTTAACAAGTGCATAGAATTAGTACTTGTGACATGGTCTTATCCCTCCTTTGTGCAATCCCTCTAAGAGAATGGAGTAAACGATCCAGCCGTGGAAGAATCTGGCGAAATAGTACAGCCCTGCAATAGAAAATGCTGAAAATATGAGAAAAATCTGAGTATTAATCAACATTGGCGTAAAAACTTATTCTGAAGCATGAATGAAATCTAATTACCTTGGCCCTCTAGGCAGCTTGGAAGCAGAGTATTTCCCAGTGAGCATACCAAGTCCCAGAGGACTATATGATATTAGTTGGATTCCTAACGAATCACATAGTGCTTTCAGTTCTATTTGATCATCGCCAAAGCTAAGCAATGAAAATTGAATCTGCGATTAGGAATTTAAATATATAAATTACAAACTGAGAATCCAAGAGCAAGAAGAAGGTGAACGAGCTAAAAAGGTAGGCAGAAAAAATGCAGCACCTGAGCAGAGCATAAAGGAACACCTCGAGACTTCAGGTAATCATGAATTTTGAGAAGCTGCTTAGGCCCATAGTTGCTAACACCAACTGCACGAACTAGACCCTGTACATACTTCCAATATCAACTATTAATTCTTGTTTGTTACAGGAGTGATGAAATAAAGATCATCTAATGGCACAAATGCAAAAAAGAAAATTAGGGTAAATTACATTTTTTTCCTTTTTATCTTTTGGACTTTGAGCGACATAGTCCCTTGATTTTTCACTACCAGAAGGGGTGTCTCCATATTCAAACGATGCGTGTTTAGATCCACTAGAAGACATGTTAGCCATTACTAAGCAATGAATCAAATGTCACCTTGAATGGCCTAGGCTCAGTCCAATGTCACATAACCTTCCAGTATATGGAGGTTATGTTTAAGTTCTGAAGAGCATATCTATTTATGTCATTATCATCATAAAGCTATTTACAATTATTTGGGGCTTCAGCATTATGATTTTCTTTCGTCATTCTCCCATTGAGTGTTCCTGTAAGTGTTTACTATATTTTGCATCCACAACTTCTAGTTGATAACAATATTGCATTACTACCTTTCAAACTAAGCCTTTATTCACTATTGCTGTTTTAGAGTATTGGAGCTGACCTTTGTTGTGCGTGTTCATCTCTACCATTTATTAGAAATAACCTTGTTAATCCTAGCCATCCAGCTGTAGTAATCACTATCTTAATGTAACTAAGATCTCATTTAATACAAGCTTTTATTCTGCAGATGAATCAATTGTAATGAAATATAGTATGAAGACAAGCATCTTCTACATCTCTAGCTTTCTTATACTGTTCTTCTTCTTCTCTATTTATTGAAATATCAATGCAGAAAACTAACATGATATGAGAGCCCATAAGCCCTACAGCATGGGTTTTATAGCTAATCCAGTAATCTCTCTTCATGACAAATTATGTTGCTTCTATTACCAATTAGGACGGTTCACGGTTCATAATGGGAGAAAATCCCATACCTTTCTAACTCTTTTTTTTTTTTTTTTTATGGCAAGCATCAAGAGTATTATTTATATTTAATTAACTACCGAGAATCACCCTAGTCGGAGATCTCAACTTCTTAAGCTTTTTCGGGCCAATGGATTTGAAGGATTATTAGGTGGTGACATTCCTTATCCATGAAAACTATCCCCCTAATGCAGATGGATCGCCAACAGAAAAACCTCAATACAACCTCTGGATACTGGTAGATCAAAATCTTGCAAATGCTATTTACTCTCTCATTTTAACTTCTTTTCTTCCTTACATCCTCAATATTCTTACAGCAAAATTTTGAAAACTATTGATAAAGGAGGCTGCATTCTACAATCCAATCAAGGATTATTCAGCTTAAAAATGAATTACATATTATTTCTATGAAGGTTAGGTCGATGAATCAATATATATAGGATATAAAGGAAAACGTGGATGCCATAAAAGCTGTCGAATACTACTTAGACCGTAAACATCATTCTTTACACATTGAATGACCTGACACCATCGTATCAAACTTCAAGACTGCTACTTGTGCAAACCTCCATCCCTTAAGTCTTCATGATTTGTATTCATTATTATATAGTAAAGAAACCAATTCTAACTCAATAATCTTATGCTCACATGGCGTTAGCTGATCCCCGTGGACGTGGTCATCCTCAATTTCTAAAAAGAGTTTACTAAGCTCTAACAAAGAACGTCATTCATCTCATACACCTAGTATAGGCAAATCAGCCTTTGCATCCATTGAATGTCAAATATGCTTCAAACTCAGTCACTTGATCTCACACCGTTGGTATAGGATTGATCTTTATAATTAGCCAAACAGAGATTGATCACAGCTCAATCCACTCCTGATTGAACTTTGGACACTAAAGCTACGTCCCATTTGACAGCTAATCTCAACCAATTATCTAATCCTTAGAATTACCATGGCAGCTAAAAAGTTATCATAGGTAATGGAGAAACTCTACCTATAAACTTCAGACAATGTCTATTCCCAACTCCCACTCATAAGCTATATCTATCGCAACTATTCACATTCCGAAACTTTCTCATAATCTACTTTCCATTAACAAACTCATTGTTGATAATTGATGTCTATTTCCTTTGACTCATCTAGTTTCAAGACCAAGGCTCTCGCAACTAAAGCTACACTACTTCAAGGTCCTAGTTTTCACTAACTGTATCCTGTGTCGTTTTATTCCCAATTTTCTCCGGGCTCAAAAAATCATACACTCCAAGCAACTTCTTCAACCCCTATTTTCTGGCATCATAGGCTCGATCACCCACAGAACAACATCTGCTTTATCTATTTCACTTTCTCTTATTCCAAATTTAAGTCCTTTGTTTGAGTGATTTTCATGCAATTCACATAAATTGGTTAAAATGTATCATATCCCCTTCGCTACTTGCAGTAGTTCTCCTTTTTAACCCATTCACAATAATGTTTGGGATCCATCCTCAATTTATCAAACCAAGGTTATCAATATTATATATTATTTTGGAAGATTTCTCAAGATATTATCAGGTGTATCCAATGAAATACAAAACTAAAATTACAACAATATTCCTCCCATTTAAATATCTTATTGAGCACCAATACAATCATAACATAAAACAATTTTGTACTGATGGTGGATATAAATATAGCAATATCATTTTTCTACATCATCTTGCTCAATTCAGCATTGTTCATTAACCAAACTATTCCTACAATTGTTGAACGCAAGCATCATCATATTATTGAAACTATACATACTATCATGGTCGAGGCCAATAGACCTCATTATCTCTACGTTGACACACTCCTAGCTATAGTTTATAATGCTTCCCACAATACAGACAGTGTCTTGCCTCATCACACACACCTTCCTATTCTCATCATAAATTTGTTTATGCCTTTGTTATCCTTGGATCCACCCAAATTCAACCACTAAACTTCTTCCAAAAGTTTGCACATGTGTATTTATTAGGTACGCCATGAACTCCAATGGGTACAATGTTTTAATTTAGTCGACCAAAAAAATATGTGACCAAACATATTCAATTTAACAAGCATGTTCATCGCCTTAAATAGATGTCAAACCCAACTCAATACTCTATTCCCCAGCTCTAAGTCCACATTTCCTCTCACAGTTGTCCGATTCACCAATCTTCTCTCCCAATCATCACCTTTGATACATAACGCTCGACATCAAGCAATTCTAATCTATAAATTTCAACCAGCGCTCCAATATCCCACACAAAGAATCAAATGTCGTGTTCTACTTCACCTACTATGCCATCTCCATTTGAACATTATGTGCCCAACATGCAAATTCCTGAACCGCAACATCTCAATCCTATACTATCAATTCATCCAATGCAAACCAAATTCAAAATTGGCACTTAAAAACATAAATAAATTCTCAACCTTACTAATCATACTACTCCAATTCAAGGCCGGAGTTGTTTTCTCTATGACTTTCAAGCATGCTTACTGGCATAAAGTCATGCCTAATGAATTACATGCCCTATAAAAATAGGGAACATGGATTCTTCATTTCAAAATATCTTAGGTAAACAAATGGATAGGTAAAACCAAAATTAACACCGATGATATCATTGCTTGGCATAAAACAAGGCTTGTTGCTCTACAATATAAATAAGAGTAAGGTCTTGATTGTACGGACACCTTTAATCAGGTTGCCAAAAAGTCAACCTTCTAAATTCTTCCAACGGTTTCCCTTTCACCACAAAATGGATAATTACACAAATTGATATATCCAATGCCATTCCTCCATGGTAATCTTCAAGAGAGATTTTATATATATCAACCACAAGGTTTCATTGATAGAGAATCACATGTTTTTCTTTTGAGGAATGCTCTTTATCGGCTTAAACAATTTCCTTGACAATGGTTTTCCACACTTTCTAATAATCTCTAACAATAGACTTCAAATTCAAAGCTACAAATCCATCTTTGATTCTCTACAATTATAATAACACAAGCATATTATAATTTAAGTTGATGATATCCTCCTTGAAAGAAATAATCTCAACTCTATTTCAGGACTAATTCACAATCTACAACAACACTTCACAATGGGCATTATGGGATAGCTATCTTATTTCTTTGGTATCACTATTTCCAAAACAGCCTATGGCTTGCATCTTAATCAAAATAGTATGCATTGGATATTCTATTAAGAGTTGGAATGGCCAATTGCAAACTAATAAAAAAATTTAATCCTTTCAAAATCGAGCCTCTAATGATTCAAACCTTCCCTTCGCCAATACTACTATGTATTGACACTTGTAGGCTCATTCCAATACATTACCATCACCTAACCAGACTTGTCATTTGTTGTTAATCATCTTTGTCAACATATGCATCATCTATTGAACTTACGCTTTCAACAATTAAAATATTTGCTCTGATACGTGCAGGGCACTTTACATCATGGCCTTGCAATGTATCATAGTTTTCTTCAGCTCACAGCCTACTTAGGCTTTGATTGGGTCAACAACTCCACGGACTGCAAATCTGTACCTTCCCAAGTAATACCCCAATTTTATGACGTGTCAAAAAGAAAATAATTGCAGTTTGACCATTCAGAAAAGTCGGATATAGGGAACCACAGCTACTACTAATCTAATGTGGCTCAGAAGTCTAGTACATGACTTTGACTTTTCTAAAAATTCTCTAATACCATTGCATAATGACAATGTATTTGCTCTTACTTCAGCAAACAATTCAATGTTTCATGCAATAACCAAATACATTAAAATAGAATGTCATTTCAACCAAGTGTGAAACAAATCATATGACATACTATTCACCATATTGCTTCCTAAGACCAACTAGCTAATCTCTTTATCAAATATCTTCTAACCAATAAATTTGCTACAATGTGGGCATGCTCCACGAGTTCCTCAACTTGAGGGGAGCTGTATGGATTCATCTCTACTATTCACTTAAGACAACCTAGTTAATCCTAGCCATCCAATTGTAGAAATCAGTATCTTAATGTAACTAACTAATGTCTTATTTAGTATTTGCTTTTTTTCGGTAGATAAATCAATTGTAATGATATATATTATCAATAAATAAAAATGTCTTCTACATTTCACTAGCGCTCTTCTATTGTTCTTCTTGTTCTCTGTTTGCTAAAATATGAATACAGAAAACTAACACTAGTCACATAAACTTTGGCATATTTTCTATCTAATCCTTCTGCGTTATTTCTATTGACTAGATAATATTTTTAATGATGACAACAAAATGGACATAAGAACAAAGAATAAGTTCCCAAAGAAAAAGAGGATTTCATCACGGTGGGGAAAATTCTATCTACCATATTCTGAGTGGTATAAAACATAATTTATGCTAATAGAAGATGGCGAGGAGGTGACATTATGTTAGGTTAAGTGCTGAATTTTTCTGGTCTTATATGCAATTTAGAACAACAAGCCTCAATCAATTGAAGTAAGAAGCCGATGGCAATCACTCGAAAGAAGCAAGTAATAAAACTTTTTGGACAGATGTCAATGAAATATAAATGGATCAAGTAATACAACCTTCTCATACATTGCAACAAGTCCATCCCATAAAGCCAATTCCTGCAAAGGAGCATAGTTTGCAGTTGACCAATGCAGTTGTCCTACTCCAATTTGGTCAAGTTGCATGCGATTCAAGGAAGACCTGTCAAAATGATTAAGAAACATATAGTAGCAGAAGAAGAAACTCACTATCAAGAGAAACTTTGAAGGACGCTAGGCAACAAAGGACGCCATTTTTACTTGTGCACGTGCTTTTTTATTTTTTGAAAGGCATTTTGAGAGGATGGTAAATGGGTTATGTGCTCAAAAGGTAATCAGTAGATACTTGCAGGCTCTAAGAAATTGTCCAGATGTGAGGCGCCAAGGGTATGCAGCAAACTTTGTAGCAATTACAATGTTATCTCGAACTTTATCTGTTCCTGTAAAACAGTGAAGTTAACAAGGAGCACCAAAGAGAGTTGTATTTAGGTCAAAAAAGGAATCAAATAATCCATCACTAGAAAATTTCAAGTAATAAACACAATCATCAGTCTTCTCCCAAATCGTTTAACATTTTGAATTCTTCAGCAAGACCCACTATTCTTAAGATTTACAGTCAGGATTAATAATAAGTTAACTGAAACGTTCTAAACAACAAAGCATATTGCTCTATGTTGCTGTCAAAAAATATGATGAATGTGAGTTACAAGAATATTTTAGATTGAGGAGCTACTTTGAGCGGTATGAATCATGGAAAGCATGTCAGAACGAAATTCTATCAAAAAATTAGAAAGAAAAAAAAAAGATGAAGGAAGAGAATGACAGTCCTCCAAGATGAAGCCTTGACTTTCGCCTCTTCTATTTAGTTGGAAGATAGCAACTAGTTATGCTCCACTTTCTCTATTAGCCACATATTGGTGGAAGACTAAATAATGTATTCATCCACTAGTAACAGCAGGGACATCAACTGATTGGTGCCACACAGCACAAATCGAGCGGTCAGATTTGTCAATTGGATAAAACGCCACTGATAGGATGAGGGTCATTCATGTTCCATCCTCATATAAACAATCATGGTCGTGATACATGTCATGAGACCAAGGATAATTCATGTATTGGGCCTTCCATGACTTGGTGACCACATAAGTATTTGGCTCTTATTCGCTCTTACTCACTCTTGCTCATTCTTATTCTCAAAGCCTTGGTTTTCAACATCATATGCTTCTCAAAGTTCTAGGTTTGAGCTTAACTTCAGAACCCTGAAGGTTACAGCAACTCTTATGACAGGCTTCTCAAAAAGCTTCAAAAGAAAGTTCTTATGCAAAACTCATCAAATCAAATAATAGCGGTGATTACATTTTAGCCCAACATCAATTCCCATTATTTCAAAGCATATTTATTGACAGAATACGGTTTGAAACAATCCAACTTATAATTCACTCCAAGATTTGTTATTAAGTTCACCACCCACCCCTATATGGCTAGATAATAGTCTTAAAGCCTCAAGCCTTATTTTGAAACTAAACTATGCATAATGAAGGTTGCATAGATTATTTACAATTGACCTCTCATGGATGGCCTAAAAAGGTAGCTCCAAGGCACCACTTGTCAAATCAAATAGAAGTAGCAAATTTTAACCATACACAATTTCCTTTATTTCAAAGCTTATTTTACTGAAGTAATAGAGTTTAAAACAATCCTACTTCTCGTTGGACTTCAAGGATTTTTTATCAAGTTCATCTATCACCCCTCTATAGCTAGATGATGGTTTTCAAGCCTTTAGCTTTATTCTAGGATGCAATTGAACTTAAAACCCATAGGGCTTTTTCCACAATCTAGAAATTTGACTCACTACTCTTCTTATTCTCAAATTCCCTAAACCTTAAAGTGGGATTACTAATTGGAGAGAGACAAATAAAGTTATGAAGTTGGTTCCCCCTCCCCAAACAAGGTGGTGTTGTACCAATATGTTTTCTTTCCTAGCAACATAAATAGGGAAGTACCCCTATCCCATGTTATGCTTGTCAAATTAAGCTCTAATCCGTGCGAGGGTTATTATTAAAAACTTTAGGAAGTAAGCAAATAATGATAAATGTCAATTTTATTTTTATTGAGTTACATGATTTGCTTAAAATGGGTGGCAAAAGCATCTACATCTCTTTCTGTGTTCGCACCATACTTAGCATCTTTAGTGGTTGATAGCCCTCAAGACACAATTTTTTCTACAAGTTATTTAATGTGATTGACACTCATAGTGTGTCAGTTTCTCTACTTGAATTGTCCAAGTTAATGAATAAGCCGCAAGTTGAGGCTAAAATTGTTATTATTCCAACTCTTTTTAAAGGGTGGGTTAGCTGGTTCTCTTTCCATCACTTCTCCTGATGTTAAGGTGGGACACTTAGAATGGTTGGCAAATGACTTTTTGCATGCTTAGCAAATTCTTCAAGAGAGGTTGCAGAGGATGCAAGTGCTATTATCTTTGCATACCCTTTGGTGATCGGAGCCAAATCCTCCTCTATGACATGGTTCACAATGTCTTGAGGTAAGGGTCCTCTTGGACTTCTAGGATTTTTTATAAAGTTCATCAAACACCCCTCTATAGCCAAATTATGGTTTTGAAGCCTTGAGATTTATTCTAGGATGCAATTGCACTTATTGACAATGGATCCTTAAGACTTCATCCACATTCTTCTTATTATCCAATTCCCTAAACCTCAAAGTGGGATCACTAATTAAGGGGAGACAAATAAAGTTATGAAGTTTGGTGCCCCTACCCAAACAAGGTGGAGTACCAATTTGATATTTTTCCATGCAACGATTCCTCCATTATCTTAAAACAAAGACTAAATGTTGGTATTATGACCCTTATCAGCTCTAATCGATCATTTGACATCTCCTCAAGAGTGTTGAGGCGTGCTTTCCTAGCCGTCTAATCCAATACCATCTCTTAGGTACTTCCTCTTCCCTCCTCCCAACATGATTATCGGTTTAGTAATCAATTAATCATGGTTGGCTAGTCTGGCTCACGAGAAGAAATTAGGCCAGGTTAGGATACCCGCCTGCATCACTGTTAATTAGTCAGCCAGGGATTAAAAAGGTCACTCTCCTGCTCTGCTGCCCCCGACCTATGGTTGCTGCCCTTGTTGTTTGAGGTCACTCCATTGTTGATTCCCGATCTTTCCTGCAGACATATCTCAAAAAGAGCACAAAATATTGACATTAGTAATATGTCATTTGTTAGGTCGAAATTCAGTCGAAAAAGAAGTGAAAAATAAGAAGGGAATGGTAGCGCTTCAGGGCAATGACAGACAAGTCCTCAAAGGTTAAAGCAAACCTTTATACTCGCGAATGAATTTTCCCAGAAGCATCTCACTCCGCCCATTGAATCTTCCGGTTTCATAAGAATCCGCAGTATCAAAAAAATTGATCCCACTTCTCACAGCCAAATTGAATGTCTCTCGTAGAGAATCATCCATTTCTTCTTTATATCCCCACAGCAGCTGGTTACCCCAAGCCCATGTCCCAAATCCCATAGGAGAAACGGTTAATGGACCAATTTTGACCTAGAATTTTAAAAATATTTCAGCTACTCGAAAATAATTCAGTTCAGAGATAAATTAGTGGGTTTAATACTACCTTTTCCCAAGGCCAAAAGAGGGGCCCAAGTTGAGCAGGGAAGCGGAGAGAACATGTTAGAGTTCTACTGGAGCCGTGCGAGAAGAAGCGGCCGACGGCGCCGCCACGGGGGGAACGGAGGCCGCAGAACGGCGACTTAGGAGACGAAGAAACTGCAGCCATAAGAGCTGAATGAAGATGGCCAGAATTATTCGAGGAATAAGTAGTACGAAGATGATGTAATCTTTAAATACTGCTTTGTTACGCTAAATAAACATCTGACAGTTTGGCCGAGTGGTCTAAGGCGCCAGATTTAGGCTCTGGTCCGAAAGGGCGTGGGTTCAAATCCCACAGCTGTCAGAGGGTTCTTTTTTCCAGGCCTAATACAAAGAAATATTGAATAAAAGAATTTAATGATTGTGTAGTTAATATTTTGATAGGCTTATTTGTGTTTTTTTTTTTTTTTTTTTGGAAATTGCGGGCTTAGCTCAATGCCATTGATAAACTATAATCTCATAACTGCGTCTCTCTAATGATTTACTTTCGAGAGAGCAAGAAATGACAGGTTATTTGGTGGTATTATTAATAGTAATGCTACGATGGTTGCTAAAATCAGGAAAGCTGTTATGCTAAAAACTCATGGTTGGAAAAATTTTTGAATTCTGGAACTTGAATGCTTGGACCCGTACCTGGAACTGCTTGTTGCTGTCGTTGCTGCTGAATATGATCTTGCTATTTATGGGATACTGGAAGATTTTGTGGCCTAATCTGGTGGCCTGGCTATTAATTTTTGGAAGGACAATGATGAACGCTGATTTTTATCGGTCGCCCCTAGGATGGTCTTTTTGGCAATTAGGGGCTATGCTCAGTTCTGTCCCAGCCGCGATTTTGACCCTTTTCCGAGCTATTTGAGCATCAACATGAGTCCTTCATGGCTTCTTAGCCATTTTGTTTCCTTCTTTGAACTGTTTTTTCCTTTTCTTTAGAATCCATAATCTCATTTTGTTGTTTGAGATTTTTGGATTATAATTTTGCTTCTTTACTTGTAATTCTTTTTAGCAATGGAATGGGCGTTTGCCCCAAAAATCCTCAAAAAAAAAAAAAGTTACGTGTGAAAAAGAACAAAAGAGTACAAAACTGTGAGTAAGTTACAAAAGCAGCAGGAGCAAGAGCACCCAAAGATGCACAAAAGAAACATGTAATTCAAAAACTAAACCAATAACAAACATTGGAGGAGCAGAAAAATTTGGCTCAGCAATAGAAGATTGCCTCCTATAAACCGACCAAATCCCCCGGTTGCAAAAATCGTCATCTTAGAGAATAGTTGCAAAAATCACCATCTTAGAGTGTACAAAACTGAACCAATTTTGCTAGGCTTATTATAACAACTTTATTTTTTAAAATTTTAGAGTGAATCTTATAAGGAAGGATTGCCCGTTAAATTGATAATTGTCATAAAACCTTAATTAATATTTAAAATGATTTAATTAAAATTTAAGAGAATGATTTGTATATTAAAAAAATAATTATTACATCTAATATTGAATGGATGGTTAATATACTAAATTTAGGATAAATAAAGAATTTTAAATTAGAAAATAAAAAATCAATAAGTTGAAAATAGGAAAAATATGTCTCTATAATTTTTTAAATTTGAGGAGTGTTTTTAGAAATATACCATAAAGTTTGTTTTAGAATAAAAATATATTGATTTGAAAAAAATATAAGATGATAAGAAATACATTAAATATAAATTATACTGTCTAGTTGGGATGTAGTGGCAGCATCTAGTTGGCAAATTATGTTATCAACATGGGTAACATTGGAGCCACCATCCAATTTGGTGGGCTATAATTCCATGTAGCTATTGCAATGGTTGTTGTCGTCCTTGTGTACGCCATAGAATCTGAAGGGCCAATCAGGAGACCCCACTCTACCGAAGCTGTTGCACGTCGTGCGCATTTGTCAGCGCAGCGACCCATTGCCAGAACTGCTACATGTCATGGGCATCTGCAAGTGCAATGACATACTGCTTATGTATTTAAACGGCTTTCTCAACCAAAAGCCTAAGTTATGAAGAGGATCATAGCCAGAGGAAGGATCTCAATGGTGACTGTCAATATCACTATTTTGCCAACCGGATTATCTGCATCTAAAAAACACGACATTGAAGTCTCCTCATAAGCCAAGAAATCTATCACTTTCTTGAATGAAAATTTGAACGAAGTCAAGCAAAGATACTTAAATGTCTAAGACATTATTTATTTCATAAGAAATTCAAATGAAATTTTGAATTTATATTTTTAAATTTAAAATCTAAAATTAAAATTTTTTTCTGTTTTAAATTTTTTTAATTTTAAATATTTTCTTTGAATTTGGACATTTAGATTTTTTTTTTTTTTTTAGTTCCTTGCTAAGCTCTACTAGCCAACCCCTCTATTTTAGTTCTGAAAAATGCTTGAGAAGTGAGTTGGTTTTAATAACTCCATCTATTACAGCTACCAACTTATCCCACTCACTTATAATCTTTGAATTTTTAGGAAATAATATAGGCTTCCTTTCAAACAATTTTTTTATTGCTTTTTGAAGCAATTTTTTAACACAAAAATTAAAATTTTTATACTAAAAAATTATTTTAAAAAACAGCAATAAAGTCGTCCCAAACAAAGCCATAAACCTTACATAATCTCACATTTTATAATAAAAATCTTAGCATTTAGAATAAAAAAATGGAGAAGTTTTCTCCTTGGACTCTTCTTGGCTGCCAACCCAATGCTTGACATTCATCAACCCAATAACCAAACCTTATGAGATAACACATAAATGCAATTGACTCATCCATCTCTCAAATCCATTCATGCTGATTGAATTCATCAAATTAAAGTAAATCGAACATGTAAGTCTTGATTTGAGATAACTTTCTTAATGATTATTAAAACAATTTTTTAGTACAAAATTTTTAATTTTTGTGCTAAAAAATAACTTTAAAAAGCAGTAAATTTTATTTGGGACAAATTTTTTATTATTTCTTAAAGCAATTTTTTAATTCTTACTGCTTACAATTTTCTATAACAAAATTTTTAATTTTTGTAATTTTTGTACTAGAAAGCTGTTTTAAGAAGCAATAAAAAAGTCATCTAAAAAAAAACCTAAGTCTTAATTTGGTACAGCTTTCTTATTGCTTCTTAAAGCAATTTTTTAATAGAAAATTGTTTTAAAAAAATTGATGGAGATATTATCAGCAGAATTCAAGTTGGATGGTTGAAGTGGAGGAATGCATCGGGCTTGTTGTGTGATAGAAAAATACCCCTCAAACTTAAGGAAAAATTCTATAAGATGGTAGTGAGGCCTGCAATGCTTTATGGTGCTGAATGTTGGCCACTAAAAGAGAAGCATAATACTAAATTAAGTGTGGCAGAGATGAGGATGCTCAGGTGGATGAGTGGCTTTACCCTTAGAAATAAGATACGAAATGAGCATATACGTGAAAAGGTTGGAGTAGCTCCAGTAGAAGATAAGATTAGAGAGAGTCGCCATAGATGGTTTGGTCATATAAAACGGCGGCCTTCCAATTACCCGATTAGGAGAGTAGAGGTATTAGATTTGACTTATGTTAAGAAGATAGAGGCAGACCTAAAAAGACTTGGTTAGAAAATATTATGAATGACCTTTCTTTATTAGATTTAAACAAGAATTTGACCTTTAATATGACACAATGGAGAAAAAGGATTCATGTAGCCGACCCCACGTAGTGGGATAAAGGCTTGATGTTATTGTTGTTGTAGAGAGTTGCTTTAAAAAACAGTAAAAAAATCGTCTCAAACGAAACCTAAGATCAGACAACTTCACATTACATGAATAAGATAAAGAAATTTTTTCCTTAAAAAGAGCTGTAAAAGAAATAGGGTGTATCATGGGCTGCTTTGATGGTAGATTTTACAAAAAATTCAAATTCCTCAAAAGTAATTATATGAAAGAAATAGCCTTCGCAGTGTGTTGAAGTAAATGCATCTATATTCTATAAAAAAAATCAAAAATTGAATAGGTAGCTTTACCATCATTCAGTTTTACCAGGTATCAATTTTACAGCCAACAAAAAGAGCCACAAAATGAACAATTGAGCACCAATAAGCAAATCAATTTACAAAAGGAGTATTCATATCAACAAGTGCTGGCCAAAGAAAAAAGGCTTTAGATAGATTTCCCTTAATATCATCCACTGTCAGATCTCAAAATCTCATAGTTGTTAGAATACTAATGGCCAAAACAATTGAGCGAGCAAAACTTATATATGAAACCTGGAAGGGTTGCCGATGAGCCTGCACTGTTCTGGAAGCAAAGAACATAAGACCTGCCCATTTACAGGGAGAAGTTCACCATCAATGCCACAAGCAGCATGAGATTTCTTTCCTGGTCTAATCTTCACAGACTTAACCTGAAGTGGAAAAGATTTAGAACTAAGAAACCAGCGGCAAATACAGGGAAAGTGATGTGCAAGCAAAAGAAAATATGAGTTGTAACCATAAATTCTTAGAACAAGAAGCTATTTCAACCAATGAATGAAAGCATACAGAGCACATGTACGTGAATCGGTTGTCCAAAGACTCGACAACAATAGCAACAACAACATCAAGCTTTTATCCCACTAGGTGGAGCCGGCTACATGATTCCTTTTTCTTCATTGTATCATGTTAAGAGTCAAATTCTCATTTAAATCTAATAAATAAATGTCATTTCTAATATTTCCTAACCAAGTCTTTTTAGGTCTACCTCTATCTTTCTTAACATAAATCATATATAATACATCTACTCTCCTAACCAGGTCATCGGAAGACCGCCGTTTTATGTGACCAAACCATCTAAGGCGATTCTCTAATCTTATCTTCCACTGGAGCTACTCCAACCTTTTCACGAATATGCTCATTTCGTATCATATCTCTAAGAGTAAAGCAAGTTATCCACCTGAGCATCCTCATTTACTTAACTTAATATTATGCTTCTCTTTTAATGACCAACATGCTGCACCATAAAGCATTGCAGGTCTCACCGCCATCTTATAGAAATTTCCCTTAAGCTTGAGGGGGGCTTTTCTATCACACAACAAATCCGATGCATTCCTCCACTTCAACCATCCAACTTGAATTTTACTAATAATATTCCCATCTATTTCACCATCACCCTGAACAATAGACCCATGATATCTAAAATGTGTACTCTTATTAATGACTTAATCGCCCAAAGTCATAATCCCCCACTAGATCTATTACTATTAAAATTACACTCCATATATTTGGTCTTAGATCTAATCAAACGAAAACCTTTAGACTTTAAGGTTGATCTCCATAATTCAAGTTTAACTTCAACTTCGTCTCTAGTCTTATCAACAAAAAGCATACACTATGGTACAACCTCTTGTAAATGTCTAGTGAGAACATCCATGACTAATGTAAAAAGATATGGGCTTAAGACTAATCATTGATATAATCCAATTGAAATAGGAAAATATTTGGTCAAACCACCATATTTGGTCAAACCACCTTGTGTTTGAACACAAGTAACAACTCATGCATACATATCCTTAATTACATGTATATAAGCATAATTAACCCCTTTATAAAGCAGCAAATAGAGAATAGTGGTCCCAACTTAATATGCTAGTTGAGAGCTTGGCCTTCCAACTAAGAGGTATTAAACTCAAAGTCTTACATAAAACATGTGTGAGTCACCCACATTATTTTAAACAAACTCAAAAGTAATTCTATTTAATTAGGTATATAAATATATTATATTATATTACATATATTATAAATTGTCTAAATTTTACATAAATAGACATATTTCATGCCACATGTCAATTCGGATTGAAACATATCAAGTGAATCAAGTCAAACATGAAATCCATCTTAAGTTAGGAGCGGAGCACAAAATCTATTTCAAGTTTCATTAATTTTCACAGCCTATAGAATAGGAATTGCACTAAGGCCCCATTCATCAATGTTTTTAATCACTGACTACACATATAAGCCAACATAAGCAATTTTAAAGTGATTCATTTGCTGAAGAAAATGAAGCTGTCGCATGAAAAAGTTATATACGAATGCTAAAATATGAGGAATATAAAAAAAATAATCAAACACGCTTTCATGAAACACACTTTTGTTAATAAACATTTTAAATTTCATGAGAAAAAAAAAATATTCTCGTAACTAACATTCAAAACACCCCAAAGGCCCAAACTATTACTAAAACAAGTATCTCTTGGGAATTTATAAATCAATGTGCTCTTTTAAATGGATGGGCTTTATAAAGCTTATTTTTTAGTTAAAAAATTGCCTATTTTCTATATAAATTATCATATAACTATTTAATCTAATTTTAATTTAATTTATAGCTGCATAATTATTAATTATTAATCTTACATTCATGATCTATTAGTTCATTTATTTTAAAATGAATTTAATTGACATTATTTCTTCTTTTATAATAATATCTATTTTAGTCATTTTGCCAACTCAGCTTACAATCACAACCATTTTTTACCAAACAGATCTATCTATCACAACAATTTTTTATTCAATCATTTGCTTTAATAGACAGCACAACACACAAGACAATGTCCCAAATGCGGCCTAGGTTGAACTGTTGTTGAGAAGATCACACTCTTATGATAAGACAGTAAAGTAGCTTGGTTAGAGGAAATCCAGGGTGGGTGTCACAAAGGAATAAAGGATAATAGGTGACGACCTAAACGTAGGCTTCGTTTGGGACAATTTTCGTACTGCTTTCTAAAACGACTTTCTAGTACAAAAAATTCAAAATCAAGAATTTTTTGTACTAGAAAATTATTTTGAAAAAAAAAAGAGAAAAGCCATCACAAACGAAGCCGTAATCTTAAACTGTTTAATTGTTCACTACATTATACAAAAAAAAATTAAGCATTATATTAAAGATGTTAATTTTCAGCCACAAAATCAGTGAAAACAAGCATCATATCGAGTTTCTACAACACAATACATTTAATATAATAATTTTTGTTGTAGGAAGCTTGACAGTTCTGAAAGTTACGAAGCTCATTCCTAAATAAAAAGTTTGTTAATCAGTTTCTTGTGATAGCATAGTACTTGTTTCTACGAGAAAGAGTAAAAGCAATTTACCTTCACATATTCCACAAATGGTAGAGAAAGATGCCGACCAAATTGTAAGCTCAAAAAGAACCTCATTAACCTTAATCTCCCATTACCATGAATCAAAAGCAAGTCCAAACTGTTATCATCATGCTGAGCTTTGGGTGCTACAACCTGAGAACTTAAACTTTGGACAGTTTTACATGAATGGTTGCATACCAAAATAGAAAGAAACTGCCCTTTCTTAACTTCCCACTTCACTTCTACCTTAGGAACAGGTTCCTCCAATGGCATTTCGACATTCTGAGATTGATCTGGAAGCTGAAAGGGATTATCAGCTTCCCAGTAAGGCTCACCATCCCACTTTGGCTCAGAGTCCCACTTCGGTTCGGAGTCCCAAACCGGTCCGGGGTCTGAAACAGTTGATGAAATGTCTTCTTTATCATACAATGCTGTAGGCGCCCAAGAAAACCTTGAAGTATTTGCAGCTGCTAAACCACTCCAGCCTTTATCAGTCCTTGACTTGGACCTCGTCCTCGGCCAATTAGGAGTAGTCGAAAGATGATGTTGGGGGTGAAGGACTTCATCTGGTTCTTCTGCCAGATTGTTTCTCCCTATTGATAGTCGTTTTATTTTGGGATCTAAACCCCTAACATATTCAGATGGCTCAATGCTTGCATGTATGCTAACTGTTGCCTCTAAGTCCACACCTGATGCTTTACTTGGGGACATGCCAGAATCAATGCTTGATAAACTGGAAGCCCTGGGGATTCCTTCTTTGCTTGATTTCCGCATGATATCTGTATAAAGATCAGACAATTCAACTTTATCTTGATCATCTAAAGCCTTCCCCTGAGCCTCAAGAAGCACCTTGGAGGTAGGAAGATATTCCAGCTCAAAGTTATATTTGGGTAAGCACAGAAATTTCAAAAAGCCAGCCGCAAAATAACGGAGAGGACCGCAATGCTTCTGATATTTCTCAGAGAGCTCCAAAACTACACAAGTGGAGAGGATAAGAAATAACTCCATGGTTCAAGAAAGAAATATGGTAATCACCAGGTAAAACTTTATTGCATGACACAAAATTGACAAGAGAATGCACTCAGCTATCACTGAACTATTTAATAACTTTCCTGAAACAATACAGTACATGGATTTGACACAACACAAAAAATATCCTTGACTTACCAGAGTATATTTTAAGCAGGTTGGGATTAATCAACTACAGTACATATCTATGCATGTTATATGATAGGGAATCTCGAATGATCAAGAAGATGAGATTCACAAACCCATTGATGTATGGATATTACTGTAAGCGAGTGGAATTGTATGCAATTCATATTGGGTTTTGGGACACTTCATTACTCAAGGATACCATAGAGATTTAAATCTACTTAAAAAAGTATAAAATGAATTGTTCGTCACTTCTTCGATAGGACTACAATGTGAAAAAACAGCCTTAGAATTTCGACTGAGTGGATGGACATGCATCACTGCAGGGTTGTACAAGGGGCAAATTTGTAATATTTTTACGAACGTGCAGGTAAGAGCACACTAAAATTAAACTTCTGCTGACTAAATAAATAGAAGCACATTTGCGTAAGTATATCAAATGCACCCTTGTGCATGAATGAGCATATTTTATTAAGCATTACTTTTACTATACAGAGATAAAGATCCTGTCAAAAGAAAAATATCTTCTCCACTGACTATATTTTGATGGCATAGACCCTAAAAATGAAATTAACAGCAAAGATTTAAAGTATTTTAAAACTACCATATAAGAAATAGTAAACATTTATAAGATTTAATGGAAATAAAAATATCAAGCATAATAAAATGCTAAATGTTGTATACTTAGTGATGCAAGAAAAAAGTAGTTTTGCGAGTGATATTTCATAATCAAAGTCACTAACCTCATTTCAAATGTAAAGTATATAATGCATAATGAAAGTTTATTCCATGACATATTATGAAGCGCTATAGCATCATTTATGGACTATACTTAGTTGTCATGTATGGGATTTGGTTGCCCCCTTTCATGGGGTTAATCAGTTGCCTAGTGGTGGGTGTCATTATCAAATTTTATTTTAATTGATTGATAGATGAAAGATTTGATCTATCAATACAAAGCTTGAGTGATTACAAAAGGATTCATGAAGGTCTACATAGTAGGCTCTTTTGACATCTCCCAATTGCAAGATTTAATTTTGTTAGAATTCTCTTATTTGTAACCATCAATCAAGAATAAACTTTACAACAAATGAATGTGAGTGACGACTTCCTTTATGATGAGCTAAATGAGGTAATTTATATGGAGAAACCACTTGAGTATGTTGTTTAGGAGGAAAACTTCCTATGCCTACTCAGGAAAGTAATCTATGAGCGCAAATAAAACATTCAGGCTTGGTTTGAAATATTATGCAAAGTCCTTATCGAGATTAACTATCATAATAATACCACAAATTATTTTATCTTTGTTAGACATACACCTTCAGGATTGTCATACTATCTTTTTGTGTTGATAATATCTTACTTATTGGAAGTGATCATAAAGACATCTCTGAGGTAAAACAATATTTTCAAAATTGTTTTGTCAACAAAGACCTGAGAATGCTAAAATATTTTCTTGAAGCTAAATTTGCTTATAATAATACAAGCACATTCTCTCAAATATGTTACTAAACTTCATAAAGGGGCTACTCTTCTAGGTTACAAATCAACTGAAAGCCCTATCGAGAAACATAGGGCATTTGATAACGAAGAGCTTCTTTGTTATCCATCTCAGAATTGAAGGTTAGTCAATAAATTAATTAAGAATTAGATCTGCGACTTAATTCATCGTTGAAGATAATTAAAACATACAAATTCCAAAATAGAAGCATTGTAAAGTTGTTCTGCAAATTTACAAAAATATAAAAAAGCACTCTATTGAAAAATGTTTACTATATACTAACTAAGATTAAGCAAATGAATTTTGTAACATTCTCAAATGCCAATTATATGGGAGCTTAGTTGAAGAAAACGAATCAATCTTTGTATACTATATTTTTATTAGAGATGACCAAGCCACCTAGAAAAGTAAGAAACAATTCATTGTGACCAAATTTAGCATTAAATTTGAATACAAAAGTATAGCTCATTTTGCATGTGAAATTTTTTTTTTTTAAGGAGAATTCAATTTTTCATGTACTCAACCTATGATATTGTATTGTATCAATCCGGCAACTATCTATATTGCCAACAATCCTATATTTCAAGCGCAAAACAAACATATTAAAATTGATTGCCATTTCATTCAGGATGTTGTACTTTTTAAGAAGATTATAATGTATGCTTTTATTTAATAATAATTGGCTGACATTTTTATCAAAGCTCTAAGCCATTTATCTTTCTCTAATTTATGTAATATGCTAGAGCTAACCGATATAAATGCATTAACTTGAGGTGAGTGGTAGCATATAATTATATTAAATAGGAAATTTTTCTATATTTGAAGAGTGATGTAAATCATATGAATATGCCCTAAAATATCCCCTAGTTGTAAATAAAGGGAATCTCCTATGAACAAAACACATCAATTTTCCCCTAAAGCAAGCTCGATAACTTAGTAGATTTCTTTGAACCTTACAATGTCTGACCCCTAAGGAGCTAAATGTGTCTAAAACAAAATTAATGAGATATGCTCAATCATTATTGGCAAAATATTGCAACTAAATCTATATAAGTTGAAATAAAATATAAACTTGAAGAATAATATTTTTTATCTAGTGAAAATGGGGCCAACATCAATATCAACTTTAAGAATTATAATCGAAGTGACAATGATAACCTTAAATATTATGCAAGGACTAAAGATCTTGTAGCAGTTAGAAAGTACAAAACTAAAAAGAGCATTATAGGAAAATTCTAATTATCAATTAATTGTAGACATGTTTCTATGTTTATTTTTATCTTTGTAATTGAGGTTATTCTTTTATTTACTTACCACCTATTACATTAAACTTTTTGCCTATATATGCAGTCACTCTTCTTAATTAATAACATATAAACAAGTATTTCCTCCTTCAACTTAGTATCAAAATGAGGCTAATCCTAACCCTAGCTACAATTACCCTCCACTCTCCCTCTCATTCACATAACATATGTTGTTGTACGACCCTCCTACTAGTTCGTTTGGCCTACTAGCATATGTGTGACCCTCGCACTTATTTGTTCACATACTATTGGCATGCATGCTCGTTCTCTCGAACACGCACATTATGCCACTCACCTATGATTATTGACATGCCACTTGTGCAAACCAAAGTTTGCTCACTATTGCACTTTCACTACCCACACATACTTACACTACTCACACTAACCCATTCTTGCTTCCCCTTTGCATGTGTTGTTTCCCACACCTCCTTTTACTCTTCCTCAATATAGCTAGCACCCACTATTTCCTTAGCCAGTGTACATGACCTCACTTACAATCTGCCCTCACTACTTCTCATGTGTCTCTCTCTTAATACTTAGGGTTAACTCTTCTCAGCTTCCTTGACCTCCATTATCTAGGTTTTTCTTAGATTATTTGTCTCTTTCTTCAAAGAGTCATGGCCTATCGATCTTCTCTTGAGATGAAACCTCCTATACCATTGGTACCACCATCAAATTTAACGATAATAACTATCTATTATAATTGAGAGCCGCCCATTTCCTTGTTGGTTCTCATGCATACATCATCACTGTGTTGCATCTCTTTTGACTCATGATGACTATCAAATTTCAAAATGACATTTGATTGTGCTATCATCACTTTGTTATTCATTGATTGTCATGTTCCATGACACCAAGAAAAAAGTGACTTTGTCCATTCCACCTATTTATAGGAAAATGATATTTCCTATGTATACACCTTATATTATGAAATATTCTTTTCAAGAACATGATTTTTTCTTCAAGGAATACTATAATACCTATGAGGAAAGTGGGACAATCTTTTTCAATGTTGATCATTTACTACTAATCTAACCATCAAGCAAAAATAAAATTAAGTTCTTGTTACCAAATTTCTCTTTAGGCTTCATCCATCTCTTAAACATGTTCAATCTTTAATGACTAACTCTACCATTCCCAAAATTGTAAATACTCTTTATAGAGTACTTCAAGTCATTAAGTTCTCACCTCCTTGGTTCGACTTCTAACCCATCTACCCTTGCAGCAAGTCAATATTGTGGTCGTGGTGGTTGAACAAATGAGTATCATGGCCATGGAGAAAAAAGCATTTTTCTCCTTGCACCCATTGTGCCACACTAATCAACACTCAAAATAGTGTCAAACCAAGTCTGGTTATTCCTCCACTACACAACAAGCCTCTAACTCTTCACTGATGACCATTGCCCCTTCCACTCCAAGCACTCTTCTGAATGGTTCACTTTATCACTAGAGGATTATAATCAACTTGCTTAGTACTTTTAGACATCTGGGTAAGCTCATTATGTTTTCTTTTATGGTTTTGTCGTGGTTGGTTCTTCTGGAATATCTTGAATTCTATACTCATGTGCGTCTTCACATATAATATCTAATCGTTAGTTATTTTCTTCAATTGGCATATCTTCTCTCCCATCTATTCTCATTGTTGATAGATCTCCCTCCCATGGTTTAAAATTGTGCAATAAGAGGCGCGCCTCAGCGCAATTTTAAACTTTTAAGCCTCAAGGCCTACGCAATGGGAGCTAGCATTGAGGCGTACGCCTCAAGTTCACTGAGGCGCATCTCGCCTCATGTTTTAGAGGCATCCGCCTTAGTACAACAATGCTAGGTACCACTCGGTATCGCTCGGTACCGCTAGCTATATGCTCGGAACTGCTCGGTACATACTAGGTACATGCTGGGTATCGCTTGGTATATTTCCATAAAAATGACTTATGAACTTTAAAAATAAGTAAAACTTCAAAATTACTCTTACAAAAAAAATTTGTTCCAATGCTAGGTCGAACCCCGCCAGGGG